AGGCCAGACCAGGAACCGCTCACGGCTGGAGGCCTGAGGTTCTCGGCCCCCGCGAAGGGCTCGCGAGGGCTCGGGCACGGTCCCGACGCGAGGAGCAAGCGCTGCGAGTGAGAAGGTGAAACCCTCCTCCAGGGAAAGCCAGACCCTGTACGACGCTGGAGGAGAAACACGGGTAGGGGAGAAAGTCTGATCGCACCTCCCTTTACTGAGCCTGTAAACAAGTCAGGGCACAATTTATGGCAGTACCTGGATTTTGAAATATTTTGGCTTGCTCTAGAGTCATCAAAGCTGCGGTCTGTACCTGCCTAAAAGATATGATGCTTTATACAGAATTAATGATCATTTTTAACTGCTGAGAGGTTTTTGGCTTGAGGAGCGTGACGGGAATAGCGCAGTGTCACCGAATCACAGCACGGTTGAGGTTGGCAGGGACCTCTGGAGGGCATCTAGTCCAACCTCCCTGCTCAAGCACGGTCGCCTAGGGCACGCTGCGCAGGATTGTGTCCAGACAGCTTTTGAATATCTCCAAGGGAGGAGACTCCACAACCCCTCTGGGCAACCTGTTTGGTTCTGCACATAACATCTACCCTTAAAACAGGAGCAACAGCCCAGCAGAGCTGCAGTGCCACGAGCAGGACGCTTCGCTGGCAGCGCGCCGGCACAACGAAACGTGCTGCAGCAGCCAAAGTCACCCCTGAGTTACGGGGAAAGCGTCCAAATTGCTCTCGTGCCATCTGCTACCGGGAACAACCTCGGGGAAATCACAACAGTGATCGCAATGAAATGTTTGTGGCGCATTTATTATTTCTGACCACTTGTGACAGCTTCTGCTATCTTCTCAGTTCCCCCTCGGGCAATTATATCCTGCAACCTGAAGGTTTCAGCACGTGGCAGATCGTATCCCTGAGACAGTTGCCGCAATCCTTCACTCGTACGCACACTAGCTGGATTACATAAATACGACTGGAAGGCAGAAGCTCATTTTTCACTTCCAAATGGGAGCTGCTGGCCCAAGGAGGTCAGCCCATTTCAGCGGTAAATTTAAGAGATCCCTGCGAGCACCAAGTCCGCAAGCAGTTTAGATCCTTTGCGATTAAAAACATGCGCAAGTACTTCTTGTCCGTGGCTCACTCTAAGAACGCTGCAAGGCCCCTCCGAGGATGCCGCGCTGATGGAGACCACGGCAGTAACGGGAAATAACATCAGAAAAGACACTTGAATGCAGGAGTCCGCCCAGCTTCCTGCAGCGGTGCAGGAGCAGGAGGGCTAGGCCCCTCGGGAGAGCGAAATGGAAATGTTCGGTACGGCAAGGAGAAGCGTCTCAAACTGCTGCTTACGCTTTCCTACCTTCCCTTGACAGCTGTAACTTCCATGCACACTAAATGTATGTGCAAACTGAAAACAAGTCCCCGTTCTCACCAGTAAGCTTAGCAAGTCGCGGAAAGTTCTCAGCGCTTTGATTGCTCTCATCCAACCCGAGACCCGTAACTTCAGTCCCCAACCAAACCTCTCCGGTCACACTCTCTGCTCCGCAGAGCTCCCGGGACGGGGCTCCTGCCGCCCCCCCCGTCCCGTCCGGCCCCACGACCGCAGCTCTGCGCCGCAGCTCCGGAGCCCGCGTGGGAACCAGACTGCCTCCCGGCCGGCGGGCTAGGGCAAAGGGGGCAGGATCCATTTTACGCTAAAAACTGGGCACAGCTTCTCACTACTCTATACCCCAGCGCGCAAAAGAGCGCTCACAAAACAAAAATCACATGCGCAGCTCTCCAACGTGCCCCGGAGATCCAGCGGTGCATCGCAAACCGCAGGATCAAAACCAGCTCGGTCCAAGGAGACGGCGTTGGAGGGGTTGGCTCTTTTTGCCAGGAGCTTTTGGCACCCTGGCAGCCGCATCCCCACGCATCCGGCTCCCCGGACCACGGCGGCACCCAGCAGCGCCCGGCCCGGCCTCCCGCCTCTTCCTCCGCGGAGCAGAACGGCGTGCCAGCCCTCTGCACGGCTTTGAGGGCAGGATGCACACCACCTTACGGCCACGTCGCCACCTCAGGGTTTTGGTTTACTGAGGCTAAGGGATAACAACGCCGCCAGGCAGAAACGGACACTTAAAACGGGCCGTTATTACCCCAGCGGCATCACTGCAAGCCATTGGGTAACGCAAGTGGGAGTAAGTGCGATGATCAACATGTTTCTGGACACAAAATCTGCAGATATTAACAGTACAAAATCCTCTCCTGGCACAAACACTGAAAACAAAACTAACCTTTTCGGGTGCACATAACTAACCTTTTCCAAGGCACCCGAGCTGCGTCTCCGGGCGCCCACCAAGGGCCCCCCAGCACCCACGGCCCTGCGTCCCGGCCGGACCCTTCTGCGCTTCGGGGGCCGGAGGGTGAAGGGCTAAAGGGGAAAGCTTTTAGAGGTGGACCAGAGCACATATAGTAAAACACCAGGCAATTAACTGTTTCCCGTTGCTCAAGAACCCACTGCGCTAAGCATCTCCTACCGAAGCCTCGCTACACACAACCAGCAGTTTACTATGGGCCATTCTGGATGAGCAATCATTTCCGAGGCTGCTTTTTTGCATGTTTGCATGTGCACAGAAGACGGGGAGTTGAGTCTGGACCTTCAGACCATACCCTCATGCTTGTCTGGGTTATATTCGGGCTCAGATTAGAAGGGATCACACTTAGCTCTTACAGTGGCTCCCAGTTATATAGAGATGCAGAAATTTTATGAGAACAAGTGATCTCATGAGACATCCACCACAAAATCGCAACCTGAATCTTGGTTTGATGTCAGCCACAAGCGCAATACCTGGTTTGTTCAGAACTTGGAAATCATTTCTCCTTTGTTTTAAGTAAAGACGAGAGAAACGTAGGGGAGCTCAGGGCGCTCGGATGGCACAGTCACCTTTCTATTTCCAGCTAGCTTGAAATTCAAGCG